AGTTTTATACTCCGGCCTTATTTTATAATAATCGCAACACTTTAATTTTTGCACTATTTATAAACTACTCCGTAATATATAAAAAAAACATATGTTGCAATGTAAAATATTTTTGGATTAGTCTGATTTTATGTATATATTTATTATATTAACTTTTTATAGTTGTTAATAATATATAATAACATATATTAATGGTAAAAGTTGTGCATTGACATATCAGTCAAAGTATTGCAATTATTATGAAACGGAGGAAGCACTATCAATTACTTGTATTTTTATATTTTTTTTTCCTAATGTTGGAGTATTTATATTTAGGGTAACATTGTTAAGTGTATCAATTTTAAATGTATTAATTATTACTGAAGCAGTACTGTTTTTAATAAAAATTGGGATTTTTTGACACTTATCACCTACAATAGTTGCTGTTTTAGGAATTACCACCTATAGTTTTTTTTTTTTTTTTTTTTTTTGAATTTTACCACCTACTATTTTTTAAAACATCAAAACTTCCCACCTACTTGGCTCTCAACTCAAATGTGACGTCATGTGGGGCCCACTAACTACCTTCCCACCCTTTTTCCCTCCCTTTCTTTCTTTCTCACTCGATTTTTCATTCCTCTATATTGTACTCCTCTCAAAATTGGGGAAAATTTTCAAATTAAATTACATATTCATGTTAATTATTTTACGAATTGAAATTTTTCCCCAATTTTGAGAGGAGTACAATAAATGGGAATGAGAAATCGAGTGAGAAAGAAAGAAAGGGTGGGAAGGTAGTTAGTGGGCCCCACATGACGTCACATTTGAGTTGAGAGCCAAGTAGGTGGGAAGTTTTGATGTTTTAAAAAATAGTAGGTGGTAAAATTCAAAAAAAAAAAAATTGTAAGTGACAATTGCTAAAACAGCAACAATTGTAGGTGGTAATTGTAAAAAAAATCCTAAAAATTGGAGTAAGTACTTTTTTTTTTGCTTCGTACGGAGTATGTTTTGACCAAAAAAGATAGTAAAAATGCATCTCATATGCGAATGGTGTGAACATCAAAATAATTGGTGTAAAATGAGGGAGTTGTCTGAATCAATAATTGCTCATGTCTTTAATGACAATAACAAAGTCTTATTGGTACTTTTAGATTTCATGTTGGTATAATTACTATACCAATATGAGGTCTAGATATACCAATAAGATTGTTGGTATTTTTAGACTTCATGTTGGTACAATTACTATACCAACATGAGTTATAATTATACTAACAAACGCTTGTTATTGTCATTCATGACAATAGTAATTATGTGCGTAGACTTCCTCCTAGTATGAGTGTTTATCTACAGAAATCCACTAAATTTAATCATATACCTGGATTTATAGGTGTGGAACATTCGAAGATGTATCTAAGGAGCCTAAAACGACTTTTCTTTTATTAGCAGTGGCACATCACTCAACAAAAATGCATCACACACTTGAATATCCACCCTTCATTTTTATAAACTAGTTGTTGTTCCGCGCGCTACGCGCGCGGCACGCCAATGGTGGTGAATATACTTAGACAGTAGTTCTTTCGATTTTTTTGGTTTTATGGTAATTAAGTTTATGTAGACTGTACAAAGTGAAATTAGTTGTTTACAATTTATTCTAAGTAAATAATTATTTTAAATAAATTTACTAATCTTTCATCTTGGTGCATATGGGGTTGTTGTTGAGTTATAGCTGAATTTGTAGACTGCTAACAGCCTCGTTTAACATGTTGATTATGTGTGATATGTAGCCGAAATAATATACTGGTGCATCGTTTCTGTAACATATTATTAAAGTTCTGAAGAGAGAGATTAAAAAGGATTATCATCAATTGGTTGATCTAATTGGTCAATTTTAACTGTTGGAAGTAATATGATCATATATTTTAAAATAATTGCTTATAGTTCTTAATTGTTGGATGTTCAGGTTTAGTAAGTGATTTAATTGAAGCGCGAGTTTCAAGACATATGTGTTGGCCGAAAGTAACGTTATATTATCGAATGGTATAACGTCGTATGAGAAGTTGTGATTTGGAATGAGGAGATGTAAATATAAACAAAATAAAAAATTAATCGATCTTTAATTACAATAATAACACGTAAACATAAATTAAAACATAAAGAGAACGATCTTTAATTACGTATATATAAAATCAAATATTATTTTCTTAAATATAGATTTCACAGTACAGTTATCGCCGAAATATATAATTTACATTTTTTTATAACCGTACAATGTTATCCAATGCAATTTAATAAAATTTACAATAAACATATTTTATGGGTGCTTATAAATTATTTGTCTATTATATTTCAACCCCACCGATTCGAGTTTCTCCCTTTCCTTCTGCTTATCTTCTTTGAGCCTATTAATTTGTGCTATACCATCGGCTGTAACAGGCTTTAACTGATTTAGAAATGTAATAAAATTGACTACCACGGTTGGTGCTTCGCTAATTGCATTTTGTGAACCTTCACCAGCGTCCTTCAATATCCTATCAACTTCAGCCTGTCTACGTAGAACTTCTTTCTGCATTTCCATAGCGTTTAATTTCAAAACCTCCAAAATACGTGTATGTATTTGACAGAATCTTTTGTATTTTCAATCGCTAACTCAACTTCTTCCTCAATCTCCATTGGTGTATAATGTATATATAAAAAGATTCCTACAATGTATAGCAAAACATAAGTTTAAGCATTATTATGAAACCCTACCTTTCTTTTCTTAAACTCTAAGTTGACACATTTGTACGTAGATTACAATCGCGTACAAAAACAAATCATATGTCATGTAATCTTTATCTATAAACCTTACATAAAACTCCATTTATACTATATATTTATAATTGGTGAAACGTTGTAGGGAAATTGAAAAAAAATTGGAATCAGGATATGAATACAAAAAAATAAATAAATTAACAGAAGTAGAAGAGAAATTATTCAAATTCAACTCTACTGGCCCCTAAAAAATATAGAACAAAAACAAAGAACGGAACATAGGCAGAGGAAACTTGATTACCACAAACGAAACAAAGACAACTAAAATGATAGTATAGAAAACTCACTGAAACAAAGGATGCAATTTAGATTCGACGGAAGCAGTGGAGACGAAATAGATATGTGTTAAGAAGTTTCTACGACGAAAGAAACGCACAAAATCCGAAATAAATGATGAGCAGGTTTGAATAGAAAGAGGAAAAGTCAGGACAGAATAAAAAAGGAAAGCATAGAAGGGTTACATATATATAAGTAGAATATTAGAGGACTGTAATTAAATGAAAATAGTAAGGGTAGTGAATAGGCATGATGATGGAGTGAAAAGGCGTGATTCACACAATAATTCAATAAATATAGGAAATAAGTTTTACTACTTCATTTTCTTTGTGTTTTTTTTAATATTTGTATTAATTTATTTTTATATGTTTTTTGTAATTCCAATGTGAATCTCAATTTTCAATGTTTTTTTTCCTGATTTACGATGTAGTGTTTTTAGTTTCTTTTTTCGGTGATGGATGAAGTAATATTTATTACGTATATTTGTTCATTTATATAAAATGGGTGCACAGAGTGAAAGGAGTAAACATTGGTTTAAGTAATGGACAAATTAATTTTTGAAGAGGAGTGAGAATGCTAAAAGTCGAATGAGATGTTGCGATTTGACAATTGAATGTATGTGGCCAATAAGTGTTATTATAATATATAAATATGCATAAGTTTGGTAAGAGGGATGCGGGAAAGTATTTTAGAAACTGCAATGGTTAAATTTATGTATAGTAAGTTAGACGAAATATTTAAACCGTATTATAATTGTAGTCGAATGAACATAATTCCTGGTCTAGTTAATTTTGACATTATAACTTTTGTAGAATAAAGTTATCAGATACCGATATACATATACTTTAATGTAGTATTAGGACAATTTGAAATAGTTTCCAAGAACGTTGATGAAGATTTTAGAAACCATATTGTTAATAATATTTATACTTTAGGATTATCATTTATTACGATGAAGGTACATTAATAAACTTAAGTATTTATTTGTGTAATATTGAAAGTAGTTTTGTAAAAAAAGTGTTCTTGTTGTAGGACATTGTTTTGGCTACTATGACGTTGTTAGTTTGTAAGTATGACTTTGATTAAAAGGTCCATATTTTCGATTGCTAATGACCGGTAAATTATGAATAATTATTTTCTTATAAAATGTATGGAAGATGAAATTGTAGATAATGAAATAATAGATGAAGCCATTTTAGAATGAATAAGTACGTTGTATATCTGCGGATTAAAGCAGACATATGTTTCGGCCGTTCATTTTGTTGAATAGACAGTACTACATCACGTAAAGATAAGATTTTATGTTTCGGCACTTGCCGATCTCACAGTGGTCCTTTTTTATGATAATTTGTTGTTTATTTTAATGTTTTCTGAATAAAAGTTATTTTGTGATTGGGTGATCGTGTTTTGGTTTTTTTAAAATAAGTTGTCTACAATATATTTAAACTAAATAATCTCGATACGTAGAGTTGTTAAGTTATGGTAATAATTTTACCGAAGTTATGTATTATTTATAATTTCGGCTTTTTATATTGAAATTGTGGTGATTAAAGTCAAAATAATATATCGCTTCTTTATTTATTTATTTTTTATACTTTTGTTATTTTTTATTTTTTTACAAAAAATTCAGTGTAAGTTTCTATTTTTAGTGATTTTATTTTTGGTTATTATTGATTTTTTTTAATGTCTGGTAAATCAAGAACGACTAATTGTTATTTCGGAGATGGATGGAATAATAAGTATCAGCGAAAGTATTTGGAACAAAAGCAAGAACGAAGACCGTAATATTTAATGAACATACATTGGCAGTATTTTAGATAAAAGCAGGAACAAAGATTGTAATATTCAAAGTATATACATTTAGATATTAATATAATAATTGCTAAACAAAAGGTTAAAGATTAAATTGACTTCGTATTCATTCTCGAGCTTGTTTAAGGACCCATTGTTGACTTTGTAAAAATAACTGTAATGCTCAAGAATGGCGATGGTGTAAGTATAACCGGAAACTGTTGAGTGCGTCTTTCGGAGAACGTCGAGCAACACAAAGTAATAGTTTTCTCCTCTATTCTCATGGACGATGTTGGTATTAGTATAGCCGAAAGCTCTCGTCGTATTCTGCTCTCAGATATTTTTGGACAGCATAAATTAATGGTCAATTTCTCCAAGTTTGTTGCAGCTTTTAATATGCACGTTACAATATGTACTTGACACACGTTGTCCAAGAAGATTGTTACATGCTTGAGATTTGATAGACAACCTTCTTCGGCTATACAATTTAAAGAGGTATCAATCCACTCGACCTGTAAAACAAATATCAAGTATATTGACATAATTAGATTAAAATTCATTTCATTCTGGTTACGAAAGGAAAATAAATAACGACATCATTCTTATGTACTTACCTCTTCGTATATTAATGATTTCAAGTTGGGAGTTTTTCTTAGTAACTCGTAGGTGCAACTTTCGGCTTTCACCGCCAATTGAGTCAGGTTTCCGAAAGTCGGTAGTTGTCTTCCATTAAGAAAAAGCTACGTCCAATTTAGATGAATATTATTAATTCAAAACAACGTAAAGTACTATATCAATATGTCGCCATTATAAGTTAAATTGAAATATTGTAGAAATATATACTTACCCCAGAAGTCTTGAGTCTCAAAGATCTGATTTTGGAAGCCTTGCATATAAGAGAATTGATATTTTGATAAATATCATAATCACCTCCATATTCACTGACCATAACTGGGAAATTTTCCCTAAGATGTAGATTTGCCTCGGTAAGCAAAGGTAAACTATCAACCATATAATATGTTATTTCATCATCTATACTAAGGTACTCAAGAATCGGTGCTTAGGTAATAATCAGAGATCTGCCCCAAGCCTGGCTCACGATATCACAAATTTCTAATGATTTAAGTGTCAGGGACTCTACAAACAGCATATCGGCGAAACCGGTGCACTCCTTGATAATAATTGTTTTGAGTGCTGCACAATTTGATGTAAACCTTTTCATATATTCGCTACCGTTAAATTCGACTTTAACAAAGTGGACAATTTCAAGGGATGGTAGATGAAAAGACTCTGGTGTATCATTCATTTTCACACCCGTTATTTTCAATATCTTCACTCCCTTTCCATACATCATTTCCATAAATTTGTAACTTCGACTTTCGCCTAATGTGAAATTCAAATCAATTTCATAACATTCACGTTGTTTTGCAGCATTTAACCAAGATTCGTAGTAATCACAATCATCATCACAGGAAAATTCATAACAAAAACGCTTCAAATAGAACGCATTGTTCTCAGCTAGTACCTTGTTCACAAATTTATTGTACGAAATTTTTGCACCGTTGCACAATGGATGATAATCATCCGGTATCTCCGTGAAATCAAGTACGGGTACTTGATTCCACACTTTCTTCCATCTTTTTGACAATACACAGGTCTTTACAGCAGACTTTGTTGGTAGAAAAGAAAGTATATGACACAATATTGTATCATGTAAACTACTAATGTAATCTGTTTCTCCTACGGGATAACTAATGTCACTCATACTTTGAATTATAATTGTAAGAGGTTTAAATGGAAAGATGATAGTGATGAACGTTTTTGACAGATAAGGGCAGTTTCTATAAATGGAGTATTTGACGGTTGTGTTGTTATAAATAAAGGAAAGAGAAAAAGAGGAGCATAATAATTTGTTTTAAAAACTTTTCAGTTACCAAAACATTTATCGAATAGATAAGTATTGGAAACCGTTAAGCGTAATAATGGAATGTATATGGATATAAAATTTGGATGTTAGAGTGAATCTAATTATGATGAAAGGGTTTAAATTGTTTTAGAACCGAGTTTTAGATTTCCTATGTATTGTCATGTCGATTGAAGTGTAACTTGTTAATTAATTCCTCTTTATTGTTAAAAAATAAATACGGCCTTTTTTCAAAGGATTTTACATTTATGAAAAATAATTAACATTTCTACTAATTCATTACAATTATGGTTTTCCGCAGAATAACTACACATTTAAATTTCCTATTTATTGATTTGTTAGCCGAAATGTACGTTAGTTAAATAGTTTTATAATACAGTACCGTAAGACTAAACTACGCTTTCTTAGTGTCAGTTACATATTGAAATATTGTTTCACCGTTAGCCGTTAGATGATAGCCGAAAGAATTTCACAACTAAAATTCTGACTTTGACATATAAGTTATGATTGCCGGTACTGTTTTACGTATATAGTCAAGTTGAACCGTTGTACATATAAATTGAAGAGAGTCTCATAAGTGTGTTTATTTATTTATGCAAATCCATCCTTTAGGTCTTCAAAGATAGAGGAGTAGAAATGCGTACTGCATCAAATATCTTGTGGCTTTTTTTTTTCCGGCGTTTTATTTGTTGGTTTGCGCCTCAGTTAATATTCTTGATTTGGATCGGTATTTGTTTTCTCCTTTGGTTACTTTATTGACTGTAGCATCGCTTCAATTAGTTTTCAATACCCCGGTACTATTTAATCTGTTCAGAAGCGGAGGTATTGTATTACATGCTACATAATTTAACGACGATTATGTTTATCCGTTATTGAATTACATACTTTCGTATGTCGTCCATATCAGTTGTTTTAATTTATGCTTATTTATTTTGTACTCCCGTTTATTGTATGTGCCGAAGTACTTGCACAGTTAATCTAGATTATGTAAAGTTACATTGAAGTTATAGAAAAAAAAAAGATGAAAGGAATAGAGTAATGACCTTGGAAGAAGTACTTGCTTTTTTAACAGTGATCTTTTTGTGTAACGACCTATGTTAATATTAATATTTCGGAAATCGTGGAGAATAGAATGTATGTGAAATAAAAAGTAGGGTGCGCTATGGAGTTGGGAATGAGATGGATGATCGTTGTTGATAACAAACTCTTGCATTTAGAACTTCTAAATAAAGTATAACTTTTTATATTCGAGCATCACGTTTGTTTGACTACTCTCGGATGTTGATAAGCCAATTTCGGTTGTTCTCATCTTAGATGTTATAGGCCAAAATATTTTTTTAAGATAGGATTGAAAAATTACAAATTTTTTTGTTATAGAACGTGGTTAAAAGTTCTTTATCAATAGTTTAGAGGTAGTGAATTTTGGTCTGTGTGTTATTGTTGAAGAGATTGAAATGTTGAGTTGTGGATGATGAATTAAGTGGAGATACCGTATAGAAAACACCTGCTTATAATAGAGAACGGAGTAATTAGGTTAAGGACAGTGGATAAGTGTGATGATGTAACGAAGAAGTGTGGTTTTCACAATTCAAAAAATATAGATAATGTATTATATAATTATTATTAACTTTTTATATATTCAAAATTCAAAAATAAACATCACAGTAAGTTTTTTGTTTTTTCCTTGTGATATACATCCGACTTATCTACAACGTTCTCTAAGAACATTTAATATTGTATATGTTCTTAGAGCACTTTTTGAAAATTTCCATTCTCCAGTATTATATAGCTGGAGTTAAACATATTTACAATCATTAATTATCTGAAAGTCATTGAGCTTAATAACTAATTCAAAAAACAACTGACAAAATAAAGGAAATTTGTGAGTGACGATTGGATTATACCCTGAACTTTGATTATATCATTCTTCTGTATTCTTTTCGGCAACTTCATCATTTTTGCTTTCAGTCTTCTCTGGTGTTGTAAAGCGAAGTTTTTTTGCTGCTGTACTTTTATGATGATCCAAGCTACTCTTTGTGTCTCCAATGGGTGTTGGAGTTACTGGAGAATGTTTGGTTCCACTCATGCGAGTGCGACAGAGGTCTGTCCATTCAGCTGTTGATAGTTTTGGAGTCCTCACAAGTTCAGCTGTTAGTATAGTTGAATCTTTGACAGCACGTTCTCCTTCATCAGTTATGACAATACCTGTAATTGGAAAATTTATATACTAATTGTTATGAGGAACATGCTATGTTCAAAGAAATTATTAACTTATATATTAAGAACGTGATAAATTATAGACCTTTGGATGAGAACGGGATATTTGGTATTGGTATTTCTGAAATTTTTTCCTTTCCTTTGTCTTTTTCTTTTGAATCTGGTGTATCTTCATTTGTTATTTCAACATTACTCCGTTGATGCTTAGTCGGTGTAAATGTTTCACTATTATTCGGGTCTGAATTTTCGGATTGAACATTTCGCACAACAGATATTTGTGTCTCACCTTTTTTTGATACATCATCTGAAGTGTCAATAGTTTTGAGTGACCACTCCAACACGCTGCTTGAACCAAGGGAATTAGATGGACCGAGCTTGAAGAAAGTGGTTTTTTTTTCGAAGTTTCTCTTCAATTTCTTGGAAACCAAATACGTCGCCCTACACAATGTAATTGAAGTCAATGTATAAGTATCTTGTTCACAACAAATGTTGTACATAGATATTATAGAATTGGCTATCTATATTTTAAATTTGGGTAACAGTAACTGTATTTTAAATTTGTGTAACAGTATTATTGAAAAGGGTCATACACAATCTTTCATAGTTTTGATTTCTACTGCGGTTCTAACAAACATTTTCTCGGTATCATTGTTGAACGACGTCAATGTCATTGATCCTGTTACATCGACTACCTCAAATTTGAAAGTGACCCTGTACAATGGAGAAATTATGAAGTCAGTGGTAGAGTTTTAATAAATATTAAACTATATAGGATGCTTACTTAGATTGGAAATATTACTCTGAAATAATATAAAAACATTTGTACTATTAAATTATCTAGTTGCTTGATTATATTTTATTAGGTATCTAACAAACCTCGGAGCCGAAACACAATTTTTATTGTCACAAAAGATACATGTAAATTGCCTTCCTTCCGGTACTCTGCATTTGTTCCCACATTAAGAGCAACCTGTATAGACAAATACATTGTCCAACGAAGCATTTGGAACGATTGCCTGTATCCAATGCCTTTCTTCCATTAACGAATTTGCAGCCTGAGAGAACGTTAGTAATAATATTAAAAGTGTATGTATTTTATTTATATGGAAGTTTAACCAGTTTATATACCTTTTTTTCTTTCAGTTCTTCAATCGTTTTCATGGATGGTTCTTGTGTAGAATCTCTTATTTGTAGAACTCTCGCTTGTCTATCTTGTAGCAGCTGTTTCTGTGCAACAACCCTGAAAATATACAAAAAAAATCGTTTTAAACTATAACATTTATTTTTTAGTCATTAATATTTGTTGTTCATTGTAATTACCATTCTCGTAACATGTTCGCCCTATCTCCTTTAGGATTATGAATTATTCTTGTAGACATAATAGTTGATAAAGCAAATGCTGAAAAAAAAAAAGCACATGTTATTTTTTCAATTTTGTACGATCCAGGTAAACAGTTTTTTTGATTTTGTTTTCTTCTGCTGTAAATATTTTACCTCTGCGAGGATTATGTTTCAGTGCTGTAAAGCCAACAACGGTAAATTTTTCGGCCCAAAAGTTTAACGCATCACTTGCAGTTCCAGAGAGGTCATTCCATGCGGAGATGGTTAATGTCTGATTATGCCTGTGGTAAAGAAAGAACTAATTATCCATGTGTTTCGACAAATTACATAATTTCATTACAGAGTAATTTGTTGGATTGTTTTCTTTACGTCTGGTCTGTAATAACAATTTCTCGGACATAGCTGTCGATATTGTATTTGGAGCTGATTTGTCGTGCTGCTTCTTCTACGAATAATATCACACCCAGTACATCTGTACAATAACCATCGTTTAAAACACATAATATTATAGGATTATCTGTAATTATAGTTGTATCATTTGATTAAATGTATGTCAAATTTCTAAAGCACAACATGAACGACAAAAATACGTTACAAATATTGTTTTCCGAAGTAATTGTCTCACTTAGTCGTAGAAATGTGTTAATAATTAAGTGCTAAATGTTTTCAATTCACGTTTATGTTATAATTGAAACAATAGATTAAGTATAGGAGAATACCATATCTTTCATCAGCAACCTCTAGTTTTGGGATTGAAGCTATTGACTGATATTGTGGAACCACATAACCAGTTTCGGTGCAGACAGGTTGGACAATCGTTCGATGATTGAAATGTAGTTGATAAGGCGGTTGATCATGGGTAGTCCGATATTGATCATCAATTGACCTGACAGTTGCATTGGATATTTCGTATTCCCCATTGTATGCAATGGCTTCATCATATGCTTTGATTTGATCACCAAAGAGAGTGACACGCATCATGTTATTCTGAAATAAATATAACTATGAATTTTATTTGTAGGCATAAACTGGAAAACCTTTATTTTTTAGTAGTGACAGTAAAATAAATCACATAAGGAATGTTAATCCAAACCATGTAAACGATTTAAAATTATTAGAGCATTGTGACGAATGTTTTATTAATTGGAAGAGCTATTACTGTTGTGGAGTTATAATAGTCATAACATTAATTTTACTAATATTATGTATAAAAATATCAATATCCTTGTAAATCAATACTGTAACAGTCATAATCTTAGACGTAGCAGCATCAGTCAATAAGA